AAACAGGAAACCAGCGGCTGAACAACAGCAGCACGTTTAAGCTTGATAAGCTGTTGTTAGAATTTATTTAATATTACTTTCTACACCAGGATCCTTTTTTTATGTAGCTGACGGCTGGTAACTGTGCAGGGGCGGATCTTATCTTATCTTATTCTCATTTAAAATGTCTAGCTTTTATTAAATAATTATCTGAATCTTACACCCAAAGTTTTAATTTGATGTGAAATGAATAGAAGTCCATTACTGTATATAGTAACTGTTAAGTCTACTATACCCTAGTAAGCTATACTACTTTTTCCTTTGGGAAGGCTGTGCAGTCTGCAATTCTGTTAAAGAAAGATGCTGAATCTATTTAATTATTCTTGAAAAATAATTGGTTTCTGCGCAATTTTTTCCACACTGCATCAAATTAAGGTTGATTATGTCGATTAAGCATCATGAGGTGGAGGGTTGGGGGTGGTTCCCTATTTTTTATTTATTTATTTATTATTTTTGTTGCTGGGAGTTGGAACCCTATTAGTTAGGTTGTTCAATATTTTAAAATACCAGAATAGGGAGGATGGTGTAGGTTTAAGTTTATTAGATTGATCAGTATTGTGAAACTATGAACTATTTTTTTTTTTTTGCATACAGGTATAACAGAATAGCTTTAGTGTTGTTGTTGTTTTTAAACTTGAGTATGAACTTATACAAAATGCAGCAAGATATAAAAAAAACAGTTTTATTGATTTAAAAAACACTATATCGGATTCATGTCGGTATCGGCAGATATCCAAATTTATGATATCGGTATCGGACATAAAAAAGTGGTATCGTGCCATCTCTAGGCTGAGCACAGCAGTGTCCTCAAATAACCACCACTGAATGCACAAAAATGTCCAGCATTGAAAATGATGCAGCAGACCACACCGCACGCCGCTGCTGTCAACTAAAAAAGGAAGCTGGATCTGCATGTATGAGAGAATCAGTCTGTGGTGGTGAAGTTTTCTTTGGTTGATCTAATATCATCTTAGTGGTTCGAATGCCATATCTTGAAGAACAGCACACCTCTCAAAACGTCGCAATGAGCAACACTCACACGTCGTCACGCTGGAGCATCTCACACTGAAATAAAATGCCACACAAACATTACAGCAGTCTAACAGCTGTTTCCACAATAATGATAAAAGCATCATTCAAAAAAGAAAAATGTATCTCAAATTTGTTTGGGAGTTATGGCGCTGAGTTTGTTAGGCTTAATCAACTCATTTAGCAAATCATAATCCAGTAAACAGAACTGAAGTGTGGCTGAGCAGTGATTGATTTTTTGGATGTGCAGCCGTCACCTGTAATGTGGAAAAGGATCACAACCTCCAAAATGAGAGTTTTTAAAGAGTTTTTAATACAGTGTTCCTGATAAAGTGCTCAGTTACTTTATAGATGACTGATATATATGACACTCGATATTGTTTACCTTTAATTTCTTTATCAGAAGTCTAAAAAGAACAAATGTTATGTAGTTTGATAGCAAATACTGTTACACTAAAATATCTTAGAACAATGTCACGTACACCTTTTAACTACAGTTTACATAATTTATAAATGTAATACATAAATAAATGTATATCTATATGAATCTGATTTTTTCTTTGAAGCATGTTGCCATTTCGTGACTGCAGGAAGGTTAGCAGAGATCATGGCCTTTAACTTCAAGCAGTTGAGGTTTTGGTAAGGAACATTTCTGGGAGACATCATTTTCACATCACAGTTTCTGAACCACAAAGAGGTGCACCTAGACGAGAGGAAGATGAAAGCAGGTCGGTGAGAATTCTTCTAAATCTTTTTGTGTTTTTGTAAGTGGTTACTTAGAAATAGGTCATAGCGTTTACAGAACTCCCACTCTCTGCTGGTCTTCTAAATGTGTCGCGTTAATATAAAAATTACTTGACTATAAACTTACAGAGTGCAGTAAGTTTTTTTATATTTATATAAGATATTTAAAGAAAGACTAATCGATGTTTATATTTTAAACGTCTTTGATTCGATATAAAAAAAACACTGGAGAACAGACACTACATAAAACGACACAGTTGCAAAAGAATCCAATAAAGACATATTAGAAGGGGCTTCCCAGATTAAGAATTTACCAGATACTGATACTTTATCGCTTGCAGGTGGAGATGTGTGCTCTGAAGTCGATTAGGTCACACGTGAAAAACAGGAGTCTGAGTCATTCTCACCTTGAAACCTCAAAGACCCAGTGTGCACAAGAGTACATTAAAACCTTAATGCCACCATCACTCCCTGTAATTTAAGATTACACTTCTTAAATGCTCACACCCAGTGTTTGTCATATTTGAAACATATTTGAGGAAGACAAATTAACTCATGCCAATTAAAATGTCATTGATTCAAAACATACAAGGAGGCTTAATAAAAGCTCTATTTAAAAAAAATTTAATGCTGTATCTATAGCAACTAATACTTGTATTATTAACAACTTCATTAATAGTATTAAAATTTATATTATGCTTCCAACTGGCTTGATAACACGGAGCTGAAATATCACCCACTAATATAGTTTGAATATGTTACAAGTAGAAGGAGTGATGGGAACACTGTTGTCTATAAAAACATTTTTAGTTTGTTTCTGCTCTGAGGTATGCTGAAAAACAGCCCCACACTGTGATGTTCCCATCTCCAGACTTCACAGTTGGTGCGGTGTTTTGATGTTCCTAAGGTAACATACAGTACCTTCTGACCTAACATGGTTTGTGTATTATGACATCCAAAGACTTTAATTTTGGTCTCATCTGACGAGACTATATTCTCCTAGTATTTCACAGGCTGGTTAAATGTTCTTCAGCAAACCTTAAACACACCTCAATGGAGTCTTGTGCGTTGAGCGTGCATACAGGCCATGTCGTTGTAATTGTACCTGCTGACCTTCATGTCTTCCTCTAGCTCTCCACAAACGCTCCTTGGCTCTTGGATAACTCTTCTGATAATTATTTTCACTTCTGTCTGAAGTCTTGCGAGGAGCACCTGGTTGTGGTGGGATTATGACCCCAACAGTGCTCACTGGAACATTCACTGGTTTAAAAGTTTTGCAACAATAAGGTTGTGAAGATCTTGAGAGAGCTTGTTGGTTTTACCCATTATGAGATGTTTCTTGTGTGACAGCTTGGTAATGAGACACTTTTTTTAGGTCATCAGTTGGGACTGAACCAGCTGATTTCAGCTGGAGTCAAGACACTCGATGCATTTTTACACTTCCCTTTCTTTATGTGTTTAGTGCTTTTTCACTATGCCATTTCACATAATTTATGAACATCTAAGGTTTGATTTTTTTTTGGCATGTGTGGATTGGATGGGTTGTTACCTACATCTGGTGAAAAGTTCATGTCAATGGCACCTTTAGAATCATATTTACTTAGAAAAGAATGTCATAATGATTTCTGTTGTTTCTATTTTCTTTTCCTAAATTTAGTCTGTTTTCACAAAAAAGTGGATCCAATGAATGACATCTATCTTTCACACACACCAGCATAAAAATCAGGATGTTTAGGAGAAATCTAAGGAGCTAAAGATGGTGTTGGTGTAAATCCAGGATGTTTTACTGTCTCGGGTTTTATGTATGAGCATTTAATTTAAAAAATAAAATCTAGTCTTCTAGGTTTTAAAATCTCGAGATGAAGAACAACATGTCATATTACAGAGAAAACAAAACAAAAAACAAGCAAAAATGTAGAAGCAGTGTGAGAAATAACTTCACCCATAATTCAGTAGCATGCGCTTTGGCAACAATAACTAAGAAATAATGGTTTTCTGCATGACTTTATCAGTTCTCACATTGTTTTGGAGGAATTTCAGTCCACTCTTCTCCACCACTACCTTTAAGCTTTAAGTAGAAATAAGTCATTTGCACTGATATGCTGTATCTGGCTTTCACCAAACAAGGCTCTGGGCATAATGGCCAAACGCTTAAGTCTCGTCTGTCCAAAAGACATTGTTCCAGAACTCTTCGGGTTTGCTCAGATGCAACTTTGCAAACCTGAGCAGCTGTCGTATTTATTTTAGACAAAAGAGACTTTCTCCTGGCAACCCTTCCAAACAAGACATGCTTGTTTCTTCCTTTTCTATTTGTAATGTCATATAACCTTTAACATGCTGAGGCCTGTAGATGACTTGTGGTTTTTTTTGCAGTTTCGCTGAACACTTCACGTTCTGAATTTACTGGGACTTTCACTTATTACCTGGCTGGCAACAGTCTTTCTCAGTGTACAAAGATGGGTGTCAAATTGTTTGGCAATGACCTTTTCACCCTTCAAAGACTGATGTTGATGCTTGTAGGTATTTTGTTAACACACACCCGAATGCTCCAGAACAGCAACTGTCTGCTTTTATAGAAGTTCTTGTATTTCCTGATATGCAAAACCTTTGAACTGAAAGGTGTTGAGGGTGTATTTTCCTCTCACTTTGACTGCGTTTGTTTCCTGGAGGCTTTTTTGTAATGAGCTCATTTTCCGAGACCAACATCAACCTGCAGAGTTCATAACTTTAGCTGAAAGATAAACCAAAGTGATATAGGTAGCAACATTTTTCTGGCCATATTGTTCAGTTTGCGATTTGATAATTTTGAGCTCTTTGGGACTCCATATCAGTGTGTGCAACATTGGAAAAGGTTACCCTTTGAAGACGAAAGTCTGAGCATTGCTTTTGGGTACAAATCATTCATCTTAAAAAAAAAAAAACGATGAAAAAACAAGCAGTTTAAAAAAAAGTGACACTTCCAAAACAATCTGTTATTTTTTTGGGAAGAATATCATTTTTGTTTTCTTCTTCTTCTGCAAGAACCAATTCACTCACTGTTTTATATATTTTTGTGTACAATGTTTTTCATGGAGCAGAGATGACTGGAGCAACAAATGCAGTGGGAAAAAAAAATCAGTAGTTCACAGCTGAGACAAAAGAGAGAAAACTTGGGCAGATTTCATCACTGCTATGAGAATATGACTAGATTTTCAGCGTTATCAGTGCTTTTTATTTTTTTTTCGAAAAGTCAGACAAACTTGGTTACAGAAATCAGACATGCACAGTATCAATTCAATAAGTGTGTGTGTCTGTGTGTGTGTGTAAAACCCATTAAAACATGGGGTTTTCTTCTTTTTTTTTCTTCAAAAAATAAGAGAAAGAATCGTGTACTCCAGTTTCTCTAATGTGAACATTCAACTGAGTTTCAGTTTTCAGTAATTTTAAATTAAATACCTTTTTTCTTTCTCAGAATTGCCACTGGGGGGCGATGTAAGCACAATCAGTTGAGACACTGAGGCAGTGCTCCCTCATTTAACAAAAATGTTTTAATTTCCCATTTCTAATCATTTGATCACCAAAAGTGCCATTTACTGTTACTTTACACCATAAAGACCTTCTTCCCTGCCAATAGGACCTCTAAATATCATTACACTTTCACACTTAAGTCATCTAAACACGTCACTAATCACTTTTCTGAGATTTTACTGGCTATATTACAGATCAAATGTAATAACTGACTAAATGTGAGGAATAGCCTTTTTTAATAAATTTCGATTTTTCAGCACTTTTAATGCAAAAGATTGTTTTACTTCATTTACAATATACAGAATCTGTTTCAGCAACAAAATTTTCCATTTCCCACATTTCTTTTCTATTATTCAGTTTAGACATCTGTTTTTATATTATTTTTATTTTGGGAATCTATAACTGCAGTTCTGCTTCTTAGCAATGTGTTTAACAGCTTCCTGCTTCGATCGAAATCTGACTTCACACATTTTCTTCCCTCTTTAAATCAAATTACAAAATTCACTATTAAAATGTGGCTCAAGGTCTCGGAGGGCTTGTTCTGCACCCACAGAGCATGCTCCGTAGAGTCCTTGTCCACCTGACTAAGTGATGTCACTCTGCACAGCACCATTTAGCAATTATGTGACCCGACTCTGCTGAGCTTCTATATTCATCGTCTTACAGCCGCTTGTGTGAGTCTTCCTCTAAAAAAGAAAATGTGGATTGGACAGCCGTGTTATGAAAAGCGACACCCTGTATTCTTTCAGTGTTTTAACACCTGAAAGTAAACATTTAAACTCATTTTTGATGTTTTACCAATTCACTGCAGTTTAACTTTTGACCAGCAGGTGGAGCCACTGCACCACAAACAGCCAGTCCTGTGTTCCTCCTCTTAGTTTGAAAACATACTTCAGATAAACATGAAGATTAATGGGGGTAGTATTATATGTATGTGTGTGCGCTTGGGTGTGTGTGCGTTAAACCCCTATTTCCCCCCAAATACACAAAAACAAAAATCTGTGTTAAAAGCCTGAGACTCAACTTTCTGTCCTCAGAATGATTTCATGTCTTTTATTAATAATGTTTAGTACAAACACACAAACAGCTGCAGATGGACGTTTATCAACGACAAACTAACATGGGGAGTTATTATCATTAAAGAAAGTGATTTAATCACTGAACACACACTCCTTTTAATCATAAGGACTCCAGGTACTTTTATTTTGGAGGGAACACAGATTAAACAAATTTAAATATGATTTCCCATGCTCCTTAGCAGCAGAGGCGGCGCTGAATGGACACAGCAGATTACAGTAGAGCGGACCGACAGACACTGGAAAATGTGTGTGTGGATATTATGTCTGCAAGCACAGAGAGAAGGTGTGTGCTTGTGTGTGTGTTAGCCAGAGGAGCAGCAGCCTCCAGCGGGCGTGGCCTGTGGTTCATCATCAACAATCTGTACACCCCGCCTACTCGATGCTGATTGGCTGGCTCCGTTGCCCTTCAACCTCTCCTCAGCCTGAGCAGTTTCCATCATCCCTGAAAAGACAGTAGACCCGTTCAGAGGTCAAAGGTCAGATCCCGAGTTTAAAAGAAAGGTTGTTTTTTTTTTTTTTGTTTTGTTTTTTTACACCCTGTTTCCTACGGATTTGAATTCGGTGCACATGTTTGCACACCACTCATTTCAACCTTAAAATTATTGACAGAAACTTTGTGACAAATGAACAGAATTCACTCACTGGCCTGTTTGTTCGGTTAACCTGTTTAGTATGATCACAAACATCTAATCAGCCAATCCTGGACAGAACACTGTTTATAATGCTCTGCACCTGTCTATGACAAAATGTCTAGGGATATGGTTAATGTGATTAACTAATCAAGCGATTTAACAAAATGTGTTTTATAATTAAAGTATAAATCATGTCCGCTTTAAACAAAAATATGTTGTAAAAGTTGTTCCTTAAGCCTCCAAAATATAAAGTTAGCTGCTCTTTAATTTTTTTGTATTGTGAAAAAAAATTAAAGATGTTGTCGGTCTTACTTTTACACAGATCCAGGAAGAGTTCCTCGATGCCTTTATTTAGCTTGGCTGATGTGTGGTAGTGTTTGGCTCCCACCGACTCGGCATAACTGCACACGAACATGACAGTGGCCATTAAACTTTGCTCAGACTCAGGACATCATCGCTGCTCACAGCTAAGCAGCTCGGTGTGGAAATTATAAAATAATGATGCTCACTTTAATTTTTCTTCATTATATTTTCTACTAATAATAAAAGTATTATTGACTAATAAGCAGCAGTTGTTACCTCTCAGCCTCTTCCACTGAAACATGTCTGTCTTTGTCCAAATCTATTTTATTACCTGCAAAGAAAACAAACCTTCAGTAAAATGCCCAATTTAAGAATCACTTTAAGGTCACAGCACATTATACTTTATAATCTATGATTAGCAGTTGTAGTCAACCAAAGATAATCATTACCCAGTCAGAGAGTTGCATGCAAAAGTAGTCAATCACATCTCTGAATGATGGACAGGTCTCCATCAGTCTATGCAGAAATTCTCAGAGTTGCCTGCACACAGCCACTTCCACCAGCTCTCCCGGTGGAGCACTAAGGCATTCCCAAACCTGCTCCTGGGTCCGCCCCAGGCTCTCCTTCTAGTTGAGGTGCCCAAAACCACCTGAGCTGACTCCTTTTAATCTGGAGGAGGTGCGCCTCTACTCTGAGCTCCACCTCACCTTGTCTCTAAAAGAGAGTTGTCACAAAAATGTTTTCTGGCACTTGTATCTGTCATCTCATTGTTTCGGTCACTACCCAGAGCTGAGCTGGGAATGTGGATCGACCGGTAAATCACCAGCTTCACTTTCACACTCAGCTCTCTTCATAAAAACAAATTGGTACAGCTCTCGCTCCCTCTTTCGCTCACACATCCAAAAATATCCTGAGATACTGAACTCCACTTAGAGCAGCAACCAAGAACCACAACCTCAGACGTGGAGGTGCTCACGCACTTCCCTCCCACTTCCCATCTGACCTCGCCCCAGCGTCAGGTGGAAGTTGCCGCTCAGTAAAGTTAAAGAACTACATCGTCTGTAAACAGATGAGAAATTCTGTCCAGAAAAACTACCAACGAAAAACAAACAATAGCTACATACAGAGAGCAGCTCTGTCAGAGTGCAACACCTACTGAGAACATGATGCCAACTGCGCTCTCACTACAGCTGTACAGGGAATATACCACACACTCCTGAACACTCCCCGTAGGGGGTTTGTGAGTCCACAAATTACAGAATGATTGTGGACTCCCACAGATCCTCATATATCCTCATGAGGATGAAGAGCTTTTGCAGTGTTCCACAACAGAGACAGAAACCACATTGTTCCTCATAAGTCTGATGTGATCAGACATTCATTCAAATTCTTGAAACCAAAGCTACAGTGAGCACTTTCACTCTCACAGTCATTTATTCCACTGATATAAGCACTGATCATTGCTCCCTAAAAGCTCTCCAGCTTCTTTTTGCTTCCTCACAAAAGTTAATATTTAGTGCTTAGGTTCACTTTTAGCTCTGACTGGGTCTAGGGGCCACCGTAGATATTTATACATATATAAATAAAACCATGTTTTTTTTTACGATAGATAGATAGATAGAGATAGATAGATAATAAATTAATTAAAGCAACAAAACAACCTGAAGAGCTGGTTAGGAGCCGAAAGAGCCGGCTCTTTTTAGTGAGCCGAGCCAAAACAGACTGTTTTCTAAAAAGAGCCGGAATTCCCATCACTAGTCTCCACCAGCTACTGACGAAAACATGTACCTTCTGAAGTGCACAGAGGTTTTTATAGAAGTACAACACTGAAAAATATTTATAACGCTGAGTGTTAAAGCTGAGAAGTTATTTTCTCAGCTACTGATAGCTGCATGCAAATCCACCCAAGCTGAATATGATATCTATTTATAGATTCAAACACCCACAGTAATGATTTGAATATTTCTGTGCAGGCATCTGAACTGTGAACTGGATGTAACAGGTACGTTAACGATGCAGCGCTCAGCTCAGAGGGAGCACTTTGAAGACCGGCCTCATGTGATGTGGAGCCTAATTAAAAGCAAAATCCAAATTTCCAAACAGCAGATTTGATAACTGTACGATGGGGTCCAAACACATGACAAACGCAACATCACCAACATAATCCAGTTACAACTGTACAAATTGCCCCCATGAAGCCACACACGGACTAACAACATCATATATTTAGCAGCTATGGCAACAGGAGCAACAGAGGAGGCCCAAACGTCCAGTGTGCGTGACATGAAATCTTAAAAACAAACGCTGCTCATGAGGTTTATTTTCTGTTTTCCTCCTCAGCTCATGTGTTCACATGAACCACACAATTTAACAAACTCCCAGCCAACCCTTAAATCTACTTCTATTTATCTATATAACCACATCAGAAAAAAAACAAAACAAAACAGTGTTGATGCGAGAGACGAGTCATCGCTGATATTTAAGTCAGTGTGCTGCTGGTGACACCTTAAAGGATCATTTCACTTAATTTCAGCCAGCTTCCTTTTAATACAGGGATGTCAAACTCCGTTTACGTGGTGGGTTTGTTTTGTAATAAAAAATAACCAGAAAACATTTCAATAGTAGATGTGATCTATGATATGATGATTTATCAGTTACTTTATTACTGTGATATGATCGGGTGTGGGAGTGATGTTGGGCATCAGTGGGAAAAGCTGTAAAATTTATGAAATACAGTTTAAAGTCCAAAATGTATGTCCTCCTTCACACTTTCCTGCTGGGGCGATCCCGGCCCCCAGGCCTTATGTTCGCCCCCTTGTTTTAAGGTGTCTGTCTACAGCAGGGGTGGGAAAACTCCAGGCCTCGAAGGCCAGTGTCCTGCCGGTTTTAGATGTGTCCTTGATCCAACACAGCTGATTAAAAAGCTAAATTACCTCCTCAACATGTCTTTAAGTTCTCCAGAGGCCTGGTAATGAACTAATCATTTAATTCAGATGTGTTGACCCAGGGTGAGATCCAAAACCAGCAGGACACGGGCCCTCGAGGCCTGGTCTACAGGGTAAAAATGAAAACCATTGAGTAGGTATCAAACCATGCAGTTCCCGAATGTCCACTAGAGGCTCCCATGTTACAATTTCCAGCTTTACAGCAGAGATAAATATGTTTACAGCCCAACACACAAACTGGACTCTAAAGGTCATTTCTTTTCATATCTTTATAACTCCTTAATTTGTATTTTTTAAAGGCTTAAAGTTTGTATTATTAGGGGTGTGGCCTCTTTGACTGACAGCTACAGCTGTTCTAGCTGCTAGCTGTCTGCTAGGCTTCACCTCAGCTAACTGGACTCCCTGAACTGGACGCCTGGACCGTGTTTCCATTATCCTTGCTAAAACAGTGGACTGTTTTGTAACATTACAGGCTTTGATCTTTAACAGTTACCCATGACTAAGAACCTACAGAAGCAAGACTTCCCACTGCAGAAGCCTTGAGGGAAATGCTCAACATCAAAAGCAACCGTTAAAACTCACAGACGGGACTCTGACGAACTCATTTTTCAATAATAATCACTGAAGACAACAATCAGAACTTTTTAGTACATCTGTCATCAACACCACCAACAACAAAAGATTGATAAACTCAAACAAAGGTATTTTCGAAAGTACTGTAGTAGAAACATAACAGCATCCCAGGTATTAAAATGTTGACCTTTTGGGTCTCCACCACTTTCTGATAACTTACCTACTATACATAAACAAATCTCGTTGCCCAACATTTTCCTCAACTCTTTCACCCAGTTCTTCACCTGCAACGACAACAAAGCACTCAGGTCAAATAAACCCTTCATAAAACCAAGATACAAATAATGAAGTAATTATAATGCAGACAGGAACTGAAAGAGCAACATTATGATCATAATTAACATTCTGAGAAACAAAGGGTTTAACATCCAAAGACCGACAGACAGACTTTTTATTTGTAAGATGTTTCAATCTTAATGTTTACTCATCTTAAGACTAGAAATACTCTGACTGCACTTTTTAGTTCTGATTACCAAACTATAGCCGGGCAATTCAGAGTAGGTCCTAAAAGTTTAAATTAAATACCATTTCTTTAATGAACATTTCAGCATTTGTCCATAACAAAACACTGATTGTTTTGGGTCGACCTTTTTCAATCCAGAGGGTCAAGTGATCACCAGCAGCCATGTAAACTGTCTTTTACTTTTTGTAAATTATTTAAAAAGAAATTTTACTTCCTGGATGAACTGTAAAGCTTCTATATAGCTGCTCCAAGGTTGTGGATAAAAGGACACAAAACTGGTTATTTGTTTGTTACGAGTTTAGCTTCCACTGCTGTTTTGTCATTTCCATAATGACATGTTGTCGAGAGTCTGCTTTTACGATGTTGGATCATCAAACTTTAGTTTTCAAAAGTACCTTCTGAAAGGAGTCTTCGTCTGTTATGTCGTACACTAGTATGGCTCCATTGGAGTCTCTGTAGTAGATGGGACCTAAGGCGTGGAAGCGCTCCTGACCCGCTGTGTCCTGCACAACCAGACAACGTTAACACCCAAAAACTTTACTCAGAAGATCAGGAGAACAAAAACTACTTTGAACGCAGCCTTACCCATATGGCGAGGTTTACTCTTTTTCCTGTGATGTTCAGCTTCTTTGTGAGGAAGGACGCCTGCGTAGGAAGAGGACAACATGATTATTTTAATAATTTCACAAACTCAATTTGAATAAGATTCATCTCAGCAAAATAATATTGAAAGGTAGCTCAACAACTAAAAACAAAATAAAAACTAGATAAAATGTTAAATAAGATACTAAACAAAATAAAGCAGCAGAAAAAAAGTTCAATAAATTTCCATTAAACTAAATAAAATAAAGTATCTCACCAATTAAAAATGCTAAAATATCAAAAACACAAGACAAACAGTTTGTCATGTAAATGTAAATAAAAACAGAATGTAATGACTTGTAATTCCATGAATCTCAATTTACAATAAAAGAGAGAAACGTTTAAACTGAGAAAATGAAACATTTTAGTAAAAAATATGAACTCATTTTAAATTTGATACCAGCAACATGTCTCAATAAAACTGGCATGTTGCCCACACTGCAGCATCCTCTCTTCTTTTAACTACAGTCTGTAAAACATCTGGGCTGCTGCTGTTGCTGCTTTGCCATATTTTTCATTTCGCGATGCTGTTTTCGGCTGGTGTAAGGTCCTGACTGCAGGCAGGTCTGCTGAAATATGAAGGCCTTCCCTGCCTGGACGGGAGCAGATGCTCTGTTATCTGTGTACACCTTTCAGCATTGATGCAGCTGAATGGTTCATTTTCTCATTTTAAACTCTTATATGTGTCCTATGCTCTGTTGTGAATAAAACATAGGTTCATGACATTTTCTAATTTACATTTTACACTCTCACACTTTTTTTGGGACTGGAGATAGTAAAACATAAGCGCTAGAAACTAAAATAGAAACTAAACAGTAGAAAATATGCACAATAAACTGGTGGATGGTGAAAAAAAATAAAGTCTGAGATTATTTTAGCAGATAAATCCCCAAACATATTCTGAAACCGCCTCAGCTCTCTGCACGTGCCCTTTGACCAGAAGTTAAACCAATAATTTACGAGCATCTCTGCTGAAATCAGCCTTCTGCAACAACTTTTGTAACTTCCCACATTTTACCACAAAAACATCTGCAAGTTTTATTTTAACCTGTCAACTGATTTCTGTTGACAGTCTGCGCAGCAATAAACCAAAGACCAAAGTCCTGCCGAGCAGCAGGCTGTGGCTTTTCCCCTCCGTCCCAGTCACATATGATTTATTGAAGCGTTCTCTGGGAAAGTCAAACCCGAAATTAAGATTTCAACATCAGCAGCAGAATTTACGTGATGGCTGGACGGAGCAGAGGGGAGAGATTTATGGTGGAGAGGTGAGAGGAAGGCTGAGAGTGGGGCTGTGATAGTATGTGATTAAGGTTGAGAATTAGTGTGTAAATGTGACGTCGGTCAGCTGACTGCACTGCTCCACGAGTGCTCTGACCTCTGAGGTTTAAACCAAAGCTACGGAAGCCCAAACGTGCCAAAAATGAAATCAGTAACTGATTCTAATTCCCCCGACTGTTTACTTTCATATTCAATTTTAAACCAGTTTTCCTTTTATGTGCTTTTTCTGTTTACTTCCAAAAACTGTCTGTTACATGACTGAAATGCTAAATCCAGGGTTGGATAAGGATTCAGACAATTATCACACCAGTTAGTTGAAAATGACCACAAGTGTAGCCAGTTTTATCATTTTAATATAAAGTACTGGTTCTGGGTAAACCTACAGCAGATAAAACAAACAGCAGGAACTGGTTTAAACTCCCTAACATCAAAGATGTCCATCAGCGGCACTGCTAATAAACATCTTTAAATCCTTCTGAACTGAGAGGATGACTGGAAAATGCATACACACAGACACTTTTCTTCACAGTCCCATGACAAATCATGACAGTTCGATAATGCAGAACTCGTGCTGGCAAAAACAAACCATCAACAGCCTCTGGAAGTTTCTCCTAATCCTCTCATCTAAAGAACGCTGAGATGCTTCGTTCGACACTCATGCTGTGCTGACGCTTTAAGCTTCAGTGAGATGATCCTTCATCCACGGTCAGGAGACTCTGCAATCAGCTGGGATGCCCCTTTGTGCGTCACATGAGAGTGGGCGTAGACCTGAGCCCTGCAAGTGTGATGCCGAGGTTCATTCACATGACCATGTGACTGCGACGCTGTCCACAGAAAACCTGGAGGGCTTGCTGATCCTCGTCCTCATCAAGGATCCTCCAAACAGCCGAGGCCACGAAGCAAACACAAAGACAGCATTTTTACTCTGCGGCGAACGGAGTTTGTGGCGAACCCACATCCTTCCCCAGCCTACATCCCCCACAATGCCTTTCAGCAACTCCACACATCCTCATTAAGCAGAGTTTAAGTAAGAGTGAGAGTAACATCTACAGTATAAAGTTCACAGAGGGAGAAAAAGTATTAACTACTACCTGCAAAGAGAGCCTAACGGGCTCAGCTGTGAGTTAAATGTTAGTACTGAGGTGGTCACTGTGTTCACCGCCTCCAGGTGAATAAAGTTCTGCTAGTCTAACGCCTCTCTCCATCTCTGCACTTTGCTATAAGTTGAGCACTAAGCATCAAACCCCAAGTGGGTGTGTGACATGATCTTTGCGTATCAGGTGATTCTTCCGCACGTATTTAAGGTTTTGTGAGCGAGCTAGTGAAATGTTATGTGTAGTTTTAAGAATTGTACACACAGAAAGGTTTTTGAAAGCAAAAAGCTTATCTGATTTGTGAAGCTTAAATTAATAAATTGTGCGTAAATGATCAGTAATTATTCAGGTTTGGATGAACACATTTGTGAAATTGTTTTAGTTGAGGGCAGATTGCTCCGCATTTCTGTGTGGATTGAGCGCGAGTGCATGCGTAAGTCCTCGAAAGTTACACAAATCGTTGCACACATTTATAAAGCTTACGCATCTTTGGAGCCACATACTTAAGCAAGCAGGTTTTCTCAGCATAAACTACATGAAGTCCAAACAGCGCCGTTTCCTCACTGATGACACTCTGCAGTCCTGCGTGAATATTAAAGTGACTTCTTACAGCCCTGATATGGAGAAGCTCTGCAGTGATGTTCAGAAACAGAAATCACACTAAACAGTGAGAAAAGTATCATTTAATATGCTTTTATTTTGAAATAAATATCTATATATTGTGGACCCTGAGCTGGACGGTTGATTGATCATTTCACACTGCCTGCGTGAAATGAGGGCATAATTCCATACAAATAGTTTTCATGATTATTATTTATATTTGTAAGTTATTCAGCCACTGCTACGTTTTATTTATATGAAACTGGCCTATTTTTAATTGATTAATTTTCCACAAGGTGTGAACTCAAATAAATCTCCCAAATGTTGTATTTAAAATCACACCTGCACGTGGAAGTGTTGTTTTTTTCCTCTTCAAAGCATTTGTTAAATAGTTCTTAAAAAAAAAAAAAAGGGTCCTATTATTCTAATTATCCCCCCCACCCCACCCCACCCCCCAAACACACACACACACACACACCCCTTCAATTTGCAGTGGGGAAAGCTCAAAGTGACTCAAAGATGAAGGAAAGAGTGTCCACTCAGCAGCGTGGAGATAAAGGTTTCTGCCTTCGCCTCACAGGGTCTCACCTTTGCTGCTTTTTCACACTTGCCGGTCAGAGCACAACTACACACCAGGAAAACTCTCACCCACCACCTCCATGCTCAATAAATCTATAAAGTTCAAAGGTAAATTAATAAATAAAGTGTGGTGAATCCATATCAACGGTCTAATCCTGACTCAAACAGCTGGGACAGGTATCAGCAGACGACGGCCAGAGGACTGCTTGTAAAACAGTAGCAGCCACACGGAAACCTGCAGGACTTTCCTGCTGTTTCCTTTGAGCTTCTGCTCCTTGGTGAGATGTTGCTGGAAGCTGAGCAGCGCATTTACACCTGACAGCAGAGCAGACAGAAATCGCTCCACAGGTGAGCGAAGCAGTCCCACATGCCCAGACACATCTGCACTGCAGGAGTCAGTTGCACGCTGATGGTGGAAGAAAAGCAGCGAAGTTTCAGTTTCATTTGACTCTCAAATCATCATCGTATGCAACAAGAAATGAGGGAAAGAAATTGCGGTCTTCTGCTTCTGTTGGTTTGAAGTCTTTTAGAGGCAGAAACATTTTATCCCAGGTTTCCAAAAGCCTCAGATTCTAAATACACAGAAACTAATTAATTATTGTGGAAAGTCAAATCACAAGGATTTAGTGTTCAGAGTTGCATATTGACAACATTTCATCTCATGAATCATGACACACCGCTCTCCCATATATAACCTGCTTTTACATATCGGTATTGTATCAGCAAAACTGGGTCTGTATTTACTTGATATCAGATCAATACCAAAATTTGCGGTTTCACACAGCTGTATTGAGAATCCGAGACCTCACGTGATCATACTGTATCATCTGGTCAATCACAAGGTCACCCCTACCCTAAATCAGCCCCATCTTACTGGTCCTTTTGGACTCTAATGTGGCCTTTATTTACTAAACGAATATCATTTTGAATTCAGTAGAACGTTAATCTACAGACTGACATTATAAAGTCATCAGAAACGTGTTTGCAGAGCTCAAAGAGGACACTAGAGGAAGGACTGTTTTCTGATAGACTTCTACATAATCACCAGGAGGCTCCACCCGCTGGTCACTAGAAAGAATGCAGGTGAGAGGCACTTCAGCTTCAAGTCAAGTAAGCTTCCTCTCCCTTCCCCCCCCCCCCAATCCTTCTCCTGTACAAGCTTTTGTTTTTATAACCAAACAGATCGTGCAGGTCACTTTCACTTGTTTCACCCATGTCTCTTCATCTCCTCACCTCTCTTTCCTCATGCTTCCTGTCTTTGCTACACCACTAAAGGCTTTAAAATGCTCTGTTGGGGGTTCCTGTGGGGCCACAGCTACTCTCTTTTGCCCCTGGCCCCCGTGGAGATTAAAGCACCCGTGGTGATAACAGTGAGTGAAGTCAGGTGTATCAGATGTATTTCTGGCTGTTTATGATCGTAAATCTCCCGGAAAAACACCTGACTTTCCCCTCCGTCATCGGATCCAGTTACAGCCACAACACCGCCGATATTTCGCAATAACTCAGCTCCCCCGGTAGGCCCGGGTCAGGAAACACAAGACTCCCCTGCACCTGCCACCTGCAGCGCGCGATGACAGGCACGAGCCCGGCTCCTCCGCCCCTCTTACCTGTAGAGTTGTGATGTGTTTGTCGTTGAATTTGTTCTCGCAGTATCTGAGCACCAGCGACGTCTTCCCCACGCAGCCCTCCCCGAGCAGCACCACCTTGAACGAATAGGTCTTGCCGCTGTTCGCCGCCGCCATGGCTGGCAGTTAAAACTCGCACAAATCCTCCGCTTTTATCCGCAAAACGGGCGTTTTAAGGCTAGCGCTGCTAATGCTAACCCAGTCGGAAATGAAGTCCTGCGCAGCTCACATCGGCTTCCGACTTCAAAAAAGGAGCTAAAATCATGAGAGGGACAGCTCGACAGCACACACGGACCCGACTTCTACCAGAATCTACTCGCAGCTCGGAGGGAAGCGAGTCCAAACCCAGAGACAGATCGCGTTTCACCCTGTGGCCAAAGCCTGATTTTCACCCAACTAATGGCGTCTCTCTTAGCTAACAGTTAGCCGGCTAGCTCAACCAAAGATCGTGTCTGCTCGGAGGAGGACTCACTGAGCACCTTTGTTTTCGTCCTGTTGTCTGTAAAGACACAACGCAGGGAGAGCGATGGAAATATAACATTTAAGGAATCAAAAGAAAGATAGATACCAAAGTTTGGGGAAAATAGAACGTTCAACTTAAATGTCTTAAAATAGAAGACATTGAAACTTTGAAAATAGAAAAGCTTTGAATTGAAAAAGTTAAAATTACAAATAACGATGACAAATGGATACAAACGTAAATGGGAAAAATAGAAACAGTAGAATTAAAACTTCAGAGAATTTAACATGAGAGAAGCAGGTGGAAACTGATTTTAAAATGTCGCAGCAGGCTGCTGCCCCTTCCTAAGCCTGGTTCTTTTGGAGGTTTCTTCCTGTTAAAAGGGAGTTTTTCTTTCCTGCTGTCGCCACTTCTCTGTGTTATTGTAGGCTCTTGATCTCATAGAATAACGCACCTCAAGATGACTGTTGTGATGTGGCACTTTTTAAAACAACCTTATAGAAAGTCTAAATATCAGAGGAAAAATAAAAGTAAAATTGATATGAACATGAAAATGTGAAATGTCATGACAGAAATAAAGTCAAACATGACTGTGTTGTGTCAAAATAACCACAGAAAGAAGTCAAAATAAAAAAAAAAACAAATAAACGCTTGGGTGGTATACAGGAAAATGATCCTAAAGGGAGCAGCTGAAAGAAGAAGAATCATCTTTAGGAGTCGAAACGGTCTGATAATCCTCAAACATTCAGGGGGAAAAAAGAAATTAAAAACAAAAAATGAAAACTAATTAAAGAGGACGCCAAAATAATTACATAAAATATCAAAACAGTAAGAGTAATTTTGATATTTTATTCAATACCTGTGTGTGTGTGTGTTTTGTGGGTATGGCAAATGCTATCATTTTTCTGTAAATAAAATTTACCTACGGGTACAAATAAAGTAGCCTTGAACCTTTAATGTTAAAAAAATACAGAAAAGGAAGAAGACGATGTAAAAATTACATAAAATATACATTTTTGATTTGTGAATAATTTTAACATTTTACTTCTTTATTTCATATGTTTTATTTCTGAACCTTTCTTGCCGTATTTGTCTCTGGATTTGTGAACTTCCTTCTTTGCTGGTCGATCGGCACTGCCTGGGCCTCTGAAGCAGCAGCAGAGTGGGAGCTCCTTGCTGCAGAGTCACATGATGAGCTCCGTCAGCGCTGTTGGCTCGTCACAGACTGTAAAGCATATTTATGTTTAATATTTATATCCAGTCTGTGGTACAACAGTCAACTCCTGAGCTAAAAGGGAAAAAAAGAGAGCTTTTTACAGAACAAGTCAAAAATATGAGACAGAAACTACAGAATTGTATTCAGTGTCCTAAAATTATGAGAATAATAATTTGTAATGTTTTGCCTTTTTTAAATAAAAAAATTAGATAAATTATTTAAAAAGTGATAATTTCACATAAAAAGCAATATAAATAGCTGAAATTTTTTGCAAAGTAATTATCAGTTTCTACTGCTCCAATCAAAGCTATAAAATAGTCTTTAAATATGACATGAAAACCATTACTGTCGACTTGAAAATAAAAATGGTTAAAAAATGTTAATTTTTTTTGTGTGATTTGGTTAGTAATGAACCCAAACTCATTTTTAGATGGAAAAAGTCAACAGTTGTGCTTAGTACAAATTATGAGATAAAAATGAAAATGTTGATCTGCTAAGTGAAATTATAAGAAAAATATTAAGCATTTTTATCTTGAAAAAACTCATGTTGAATAAAATCGACGAGAAAGTTCAAAGATCAAAGTCAGATAATAAGGTTATATGTTTATCTGTATATAAAATTAAAAAAATCAAACATCTAATAACTCCAACATCCAGCATGCTTTGCTTCTTTTATTTTTTATGTAAACCTCAGATGATGAAATATAAAGAGCTGTCATGTGGAGTTTTACAGCCCTGACACGAGCCTGGTTTTCCTGTTGGAAGCCTTCAAGGAAACAAAAAACAACTTGTTTTTCCGTCTCTGACTGCAGTGAAGCTGCTTAGCCACTAGAGGGCAGAGTCCCATTGAAAACAGGAACAGATTCATGTTTAGGCGGGTGGAAGAAAAGAACAAAAGCTGCAAAACAACCTCAAGTACAAAGAAGCTTAAAAAGACCAGAGACAGGCCCAGAGTGACCACAGAGAGGAAACAAAGCATCAAACACAGCAAACAAAAGAGGGATACATGCAAAATGACACAAAGAAAAAACCAAATGACCAAAAAAAGGTTTCAATAAAATATGGAAATAAAACAAAAAAAATCCCAAAAACTGAAACATCACACAAACAGAACAGACAAGACAAAAATATCAACAAAAACCTGAAAAACAAACACAAAAGAAGCACAAATGACAAAAAAAGAGATGCAGAATGTTCAGAAATATACTGAAAATGACAGCAAAGACACAAAGCAATGCTAAAGAGAAACAAAAAGCTGCAAAAAATATGCAAAGCAACTACAAAAAAAGAACTTGAAAGAAAAATGAATGCAGCCAAACCACAAGGAAACAGACAGAAAAGAGATACAACGTAGACACAAGGTGCAAAATTATCGAACATGTCATCACAGAAATAAAATAAACAACATGGAAACTGAAAGATTAACATGAGTTTGTATGTCAGGGAGTCTTTCGTTTAAACTAGGTGATTTATCACTGTGGTCCAGACAAAGTGAAGCAACCTGGTCACAAAAGAAATAGTTTCCTTCATAAATATTTCATTTTTTTTCTTGCAAATTTACATTTCTGAATTTTCCCCCTGAGTTCTGTTTTTTGTCATTTAAATAATCAGAAAGACAGAAATATTTCCTGCTTTCACACAGGTTTCTTCATACTGTTGCATCATGTTGTATGTGTGTGTGTGTGTGGTGACAACTATTATATGTCAGCTTTACCTCACCCCCACCCCTTTGTGTCTTATTTCCTTGAAACTTGCAGCAGGATCTCAGAACTGCTAACCATTAACATCAAATTAGTGTACAGGTTTACCTGACTTTGTGAGGACTTAAGTTGTTTTGAGGCCTTGTGGGGACACGTGAGAGATCAGACTTTTCTGATCTCAGGGTTCATGGAAGGCTGAATTACCAGGAATCCCTAAAAGTCAGGCTAGCATTACTCTGCCTGGATATACTGAACAAGTATATCATCAGATTACTGACCATTTTATTAGGTACACCTTGCTAGTGCTGGATTTGACTGTTTTTTTGCCTTCAGAGCTGCTTTAGTTCTTCATGTTGGAAACATTTCTCAGAGATTTTGGTTCTTGTAAATGTGACAGCATCACACAGTTGCTGCAGATTTGTCAGCTCCACATCCATGAGTGAATCTCCCGTTCCAACTCCAATCTCAAAAGGTGCTCTGTTTGACTGAGATCTGCTGACTGTGGAGGATATTTGAGTACAGTGAACTCATTGTTCAAGAAACCAGTGATAGATGATTTGACCTTCGTGCTATGGTGCGTTATTCTGCTAGAAGCAGCATCATTAGATGGAATGTTTTGGTCTTCAGGGGATGGAAACCAAAAGCAGCCTGACCTTTGACAGAAGGTAGGATGGATGCTTTCTTGCTTGCCCCAAATTCTGATCCTACCTCCTGAATGTCGCAGCAGAACTGGAGACTTACTAGACCAGACAACATTTTTCCATCTTCTAGTCTCCAGTTTTGGTCAACCTGTGAAAACTATAGTCTCAGTTTCATGTTCTTAGCTGACAGAAGCACCACCTGGTGTGGTCTTCTGCTGCTGTAGCCTGCTTCAGTGGGTCGTCTTGACCATGTCTTTATGCCTAAAGGCTTTGAGCTGCTGTGATGTGATGGTAAATCATATATTTCTGTTTACAAGCAGCTGAAAAGGTCTACCTAATAATGTAGATGGTTGAGTATATATGAGAAGAAAATAAACAAGAAATAAATCACAACATTCAACCAATTTATTACATGTGAAATGTATGTTTTTACTCAAAAAGCTGGATTATTGATTTATTGACCACAAAGAGACACAAATCAAAGCAAACACCCTCCAATAAATATAAAATAAAAGAAAGAGAGTAAGAAGACAAAAAATACACAAATTAGACAAATGAAAAGCAAAACAACCTGAAAAGAATCTGACAGCAAATCAGAAAGGAAATCAGTCTGTTATGGCTGAGTTTAATTACTTTAATTACAATGCTGTGACCTCACTGAGCCTCTCCATGCAGAAAAAAGGTTTTTTTCTAGCCCCTCGTCAAGTCAAGTCATCTTTATTTATATAGCACATTTAAAAGACATCAAGTGTCGGCCAAAGTGCTGAACAGAGGGATAATATAATAAAAGAATTAAAATAGAAAGAAAACATTTTTTTAAAAAAGAATTGTAAGACATGTAATATCAAAGAGATCCGAAAGCCTTGGAAAATAAGTAGGTCTTGAGTTTCGATTTAAAGACTTCCAAGGATGAAGAGAATTTTATGAAGGGGGGAAGACTATTCCAGAGTCTCGGGGCGGCAATGGAGAAGGCCCTGTCACCTCTAGATTTGAGCTGGGAGCGTGGAACTGATAAGACCATCTGACTGGAGGAGCGCAGAGATCGAGTGGGTAAGTGCAGGCTAAGAAGATCTGAAATGTAACCTGGAGCCAAACCATGGAGGGCTTTGAAAACAAATAATAAAACCTTAAAATCAATTCTATGTTTAACTCGTGTTCTGGTTGAAGTGCCCCAAAAACCTCCAAATACAAAATACCTGAAACCCCCGTTATGGTGTATTCCAGTATTCAAACATCATCTTTTCTAATCACAGCTGAACAGTTTTATTTATTTAAAAGTAATCTCCTGTCCTGATGTGGGATTCAATAATTCACCAAAAGCTCCAAAACTACACTATTTTCCATCAAAAATCTTCCATTGGTGTATATGAATCAGTTGACAATCAGTTCATGAAATTTAACCGTGGCTCTTTATTATGAAGGGCCCAGAGATAAT